TGGAGGACAACCACGGTTACTATGGAAAGTCCCTTGGATGATGCCAGATGGCAGACATGGGGGCCATTTGGTTGACCGATCTGCAGGTAGTGTCAGAGTGTCAGAGTATTGTCAGGGTTTGGCGCTGAAAACGGCGTTTACTGGAGATCTTCTCACCTTGGCTCCTTGCTGTTGTGGGCTCCTAGATGCCGGTTTCAAGTTTTCTTGTGTGGGGGGGGGTTCTTGTGGAGACTTAGTCGCCGAGGCTGAGAAACTCGAGCTCCCCTGGCCGAAAGTTCCTGGACCCAGCATTCATCCAGGCCTGACACGTGCCAGTTGCCCTTGACTGATCCCCCCGACTCCGACAGCAGAGCCTAGAGCATTGACTGTTGGACGATTTGGATTGAGGCCTCTTCCAGGAAGGCCTTCCAGCGCTACGCCAGCAAAGGCCGTGAGTCCATGATCAGGCGCCCTTCGCGAAGAAAGATGAGTTGCGGAGTCGCCCGGTTTTTGAGAGCGGCGGCTGCAGGTTCGTCATCCCCGTCATGAAATCCCTCGCCAGCACCGATGAGACGAGGCCGGTCGTCCGAGTGCCTTGCGCCACAGGAAGCTTAGGGCTCTGGGCTGTCACAGGGCTCTTCAGCTGCTGGACCAGGCTGGGCAGTATTCCTCACTTCCAAAGCCGTTTCCCTTGTCTCCTGGACGCGAGATGTCGCGTCTCAAGCGCTCCAGCGCAGACAGGGGCTCGTACTTGTATCATTCCGTCTGTGGAGGGCTTGTAGTCAGCAGCCTCGAGCAGTTCATGTAGGTTGGGTCTGCACATGTCGGGAGAACTCACAGCTCTTCCAGGATCTCGGCTGCGGCACAAATCCCTAAGTAAGCCAAGCTTCATGCAGACCTACAACCTACTCAGCTACTCGTACTGAGCAAAGATGATGCTGCAAGCGTTCCATGCGCGCGCTCCGCTGCGACCTGCAAGCTGGAGTGGAGCATTGCTGCAGCCTAATCCATACAGTGACCTAGAGGGCTCGGGCCAAAGCCCTGGCTTCAGCCGCCTGATGTGCCAGGTGGAGTTTCGGAAGTTTCAGAAGCGAAAAGCTGGACACCGCGAGGTGCATCGTGAGGAGCGTGATAATCCCGTGCCTGCTTTCGGTGGAAAAGGGAACATCAGTGCGCTTCAATAAGCCGCCTGCCGGGTGGCCCCTCCGACCTTTTCCCAGTGTCAATTGCCGCAGAGGACACAAATGAAGAGGAGGAGAACAAGGACAAGGACAGTCAAAAGCTCGTTCGGCTGGCACGGCTGGCTTGGCAACTTGTGCATTGAATTGGAGGACAAGGAGCACGAGCTCAGCATGCTCAGCAGATCGGCCGTTGACGACATGGAAAGTGACGATGAGGATGAGGAGGAGCCCACCTACTTGCAGGTGGGACACGGACACTCCTCTCTGGATGCAGCAATGATGCATCTGCGAATATCTGCGAATCAGGTGTCCGAAGGTGAGGACGAGGAGTTGGAGTCAGAGTCCCAAGACGAAGGTGGCCGTCGCCGTCGCCGACGGCGTCGCAGGCGCCGCAGGAGACCCTGGAAGACTTCAGAGTCAGAGACACGTCAATCATCCAGGATTTCTGCACAATCCTCATGCTAGGAGGTGGATCGGGGGCCGAAGACGGCGACGACACCGGAGGCTCCGTGTTCAGCAGCGAGACCCCCAACCGC